ACATGCGCCCGTTATCAGCAAAAGTGCTTATTGTAGTACAAGTAGTTTCAGTTTTTATCAGGCTTTCAGTTAATTGTTGTGTTTCGATTGTGTGCGTGGCGTGTCAATGTTGAATCGTGGTCGCCCTTTAAATTTGTAATCCGAATGAAACTTGTTTAAAATAAGTCATTTCAGCACGCAACAAGGGTATTGCAATGCCAGAGGCAGCATCAAAAATTGTAAAGCCCGGAGGAAAGGCTCCTGATGAATTCGAAAAGCAAGTGTCAAATGCTATTGCCGATCTTGAGGCAAGTCAAGATATCAAAGCGCAGTTGAGAGAATTGTATATTGTCGGTGCGAAGGTCAGTGCTGAGAATATTTTTCACATATAATGTATAATATTTACAAGAGAATGAAGCTAACTTCATCCGTTTTTACGTTTCATCGTTTACTTTTCTGTTGTCTCTGAAGTCAGAATTGTAAAATAATTATTATTCGATGAGTTCATATGTTTTCCTTTCAATGATTATACTTGAATGCTTTCTCGGAATGCTGAACCACTAATCTGGAATTTATTCATATGAAATTTTTGATTGCATAGAACCGTTTTTGTTATGATAAATTAGGGCAAGTTTGAGGAATTAATGTTTTCTTCAATTAAGGAAGTAGAGTTGGGAAATAAGAAGGTGATCATTGTGTACGTACCTTTCCCTCAGCTGCGACAATTCCAAAAGATTCAGCCGCGTTTGGTGCGTGAACTGGAGAAGAAGTTCAGTGGCAGACATGTTGTCGTAATTGCTCGAGTAAGTATATCTACTTCTTTTTGATGCTTAAAGTGGAATACTGAAGATAAAGTTGGGATAAAAGCTGCTGTAGTAATGTCTAAATGCATAATTACAATCCGTCCATTCTTTGTAGTCTTCTCCTGAATAATTTTGTCTCGGCTATCTGCGAGATTATTTCAATGAGGATTTTTTTGTTCTGATGTTTCAAAATTTGAATAACAAAAGACGCGAAAAACAAGGAGGTTACGTAGAATGTATTATACTCATCTATGCTTAAAATTTACGCCGTGTACTTCTGTAATAAGTACTTGCTGAATGGGAACTTGGGGTGGAATTGATATAGTGAGCCGTGTTCTCTTACTTAAGCACGATATTGATATTGAAATTGTGATTGTATTTATGGTCCATTGCGTGATCGTTTTCTGACCATCAGCTCATATGCCGTATAATGTTGCGAAAAGAAAGATTCGCTGACCTTCTGATTGGTTCTGTACTTATTATACAGTAAACTGCTAATGAAATTATATTTGGCAGCGTCGTATACTTGCCAAGCCAAAACGAGGTAAAAATAGAAAGCCAGAAAAGCAAAAGCGCCCTCGATCACGAACACTGACTGCGGTGCATGATGCCATGCTCGGTGATTTGGTATATCCAGCAGAAGTTGTTGGTCGTCGAATAAGGGTTAAGCTCGATGGAAAACGCATCATTAAGGTGCATCTCGATAAGAATCAGCAGACAAATGTCGAACATAAAGTTGGTTTTAAACTTTTGTTTCGGTTTCCTATTTGGTTTTTATTTGTTGCAGTCGTCATCTGCGCTATCGTAAACACTAACAGCGGAATTTGCATTCAGGGTAGGGTTTTGATTTTTTGAACTTCTTGAATTGTCGTTTGCAAAGTAAGTTGGTCCTTCAGAACCATAAACCTTTAGACAACTTCGAAGGGATCATTGAACTAGATTATAGGAAGAGTAATCAAATAAAATCACCTCCGTTTTTAATAAATTGTACATTTCCTAAGGGACTTGTTGAAATTATTTCAATCATAGGTTCAACCAAAACTTAGACGAATTGGAATAAGTACTACTGAAGCTCGAATATTAAATTAAGCANGCAGCGTCGTTTATTCGTTTTATTTCAGGTTGATACATTCTCAGCAGTGTACAAACATTTAACTGGTAAAGAGGTGGCATTCGAGTTTCCGGAACCATTGTTCTGACCCAGTTGTTTTTGAATATGATTGTATGATGTGATTGTTGTGCACTGTTCGTTGTTGTTAAATATAAACACACGTTATAAATTGTTCGTTCATCGTTTCAACTACCACACACGCTTCATTTTGGAATGCATTCATAAGTAAGATGTGTTGAACGTTTATGATAGCGTTAAAGTTGTGTTCATGAACTGAAACGTTCGTCATCTCGTAGATTTATTCACAGTTGTGCGTATCCTCAGTACAAGAGAAGTGAGTGTATGCAGGAATTTGTGCGTGAGATGGTATTCTGCCCACAACTCACTGTTTACTTTTATAAATAAGTGATGGTATATTAACTACGGGATTTCACATCTGGCTGTACGGCATTCTTATTTATTTGCACCGGATGGCCATGTGTTTCTTATTTCGGCATGTTGCATACGCGAGGAAGTAGGTGAGATTGATGCAGTTGGAACATTTTTTTAGGATGTGTGAAAAAACTTATCAGTGTAATAGATATTGTACGACCTCCACTAATTTGCTTCGCTTGAAAAATATTCGAGTGTCACTTGAAAGGTTGAAAATGAAAGTGCAGTCGATGAAATCTGCTACTCTTGATTATTCAAAGAACTTGGATATAAATTGGTTGTATTGACTTTTTATCGCGAGACTTCCATTCCGCTTCATTTTCTGACTGCAAGTGTGTAATACATGGTGTGGGAATTTTGTCACATTTTGAAGGGCTTATAGAATAAGATAAATCTTCTGCGATAAAGATCAGATCAGCATTCCTGATGCCTTAGCGTTCCATTTTTGTTTTGTCCGTGCCACACCATACCCTCGAGCAGCACTACTTTACCGTTATCCACATGCTTTCCTGATAAGTCAGTCTAATACCTTATTTGGCGTTAGTCCAAAGCTCATATCTTCAGCGAAATGAAATAATAGCAATCTACAGCATCAGATATTTCCATCGCGTAATATAGCTGAAATTAGCGATGAATGCTGTTCACTTCATATTGTTCTTAGAAAAAGTTTAGCTCTTTATTGTTTCAGTTCGAGTGCAGTGCTCACGATTGACACCATCCAGTCGCATTGTCTTAATTAATATCATCATTCACTACGAGTTCATTTGTTACTGCGCAAATACTATGATCGTTAATTGATGTGGACACTTGACAGTGATGGACTTTAAAACTGATAAAAGTGGTTTTTCGAGACCGGCGGTAATTGTTTTATGAAATTTCGATAATTAAATGATTTCTGAACTTCTCGTCTCCATTCACTGTTTCCAATATAATGCATATTTTCATGTGTTAACAAAGAAACAAACCAATCACGTTTCTCTGAAGTCAAACTAAAGAATTGTTCAACACAAATTTCAGCATGATAATCCAGAAAATTAGCATTTTATCTCGGTGTGAATGTTCCGACCGATTAGATCTCTAATCCTTCAGAATATTTAATAAACTTTGGTCAGAATGATGAATAATGATAACAATGGTAATGATAACTTCAGTCAGAATGATACCTTTCGGTTGCTACAGATCAGTCGATCAAAAACTTTATTCCTTGATTATAGCTGTCATATTCAATGGAATTTTGACTCTTAATAATCATAGGCAATGTTCAAAACATTACGCCGCTTACATGGACATAATTTGGAGAATCAAGGTCTGAATGATCTTACCGAGGCGTTTCAAAACTTTATCACACGTGCGAAATATTTTAGCATTGGACGATTGAGGTTTGTATGCACTCATTTAATATGAATAGTGTAAATTGAAAGCAACTCTCACCTGAATATAAGCTGATGGTTATCTGCCGCACTCAAAAATAGATCCAGAGTACAAGTATCGCTTTCAGGCGCACATGGTCACATTCGGCTATTGAATTTATGAAGTATCGTCGACTACTTCCCATGCTTACTTCTGAAGGCCAACGTAGTGATCAGTTTGATGGTATGCATTCAGTTAAGTTTCATATCCACCTGAGTGCTATTTTACCCAACTGTGTTCTCCTTTCACAATTACGCGATTACAAAATTTGAAAAAAAAAATTTTCGTTGGCATTTTTTAACTAATCAATTTGAATATGACCTCAGATCAATTTTAATAATGGTGATGCCAGAGAAGTGAATGGACGTTTGATTTCAAAACAAAATTAAGTGAATACACAATTCGAGGGAATGTTGTGTCCAATGAAAATTGGCCAATTAATTTTTATTAATTTCATCAATTCAGATGACTCATTTATGTCATCAGCATTCATTAAACGATCCGATTCAATTCGCAGTGATGTGAGTGTTGTTTCGTCGAGCGGTGTTTCATTGCGGCATGTTAAAGGTGAAGAAAAGAAAATCGTTGTTACGAATATCTCACCAAGAGTTACGAACACTCAACTGGCGTCGTTCTTTTCTAAATTTGGAAAGGTTTGTTCAGCTGTCATTATGATACAACCTCTTGTTACACATTTCAAATCTAATCTTCACCGTTTATGGTCAATTATTGTTTTTATTTTCTTTTTCCACAAAGTATCACTTGTTGTTTTTCCTCTTTGGCTAACAGAAACAGTATTTACATTGAAAGATAATATCGAAAATCATTGAAATTTTATGAAAGCGAGTGATCATTCAAACGATTCAATGTTCAACACGGACAGTTTTGATCATAAGAACGATAATAATGAAATTACTCGGTTGTATCGTTTGCTCATTTCAGATTTCACTGTGTCGTATTCCATCTGAAGAACGGTATCAGTCAATTTATGCAACAATGCCGAAGGTTGTACGTTCTTCAGTTGTTGCACATATAACATTTAAGTAAGTTTGCGTTTTTCTAGTGCAATGATTGTGAATTCTCATCATTCTTGCGTACTTTCGCTTTTTGCTTCAGTTTCATCCATAAAAAATTTTTCTGCAACATAAAAAGAAATGGAATTATTCCAAGGCACTTATTAGGAAAGTTTGGTTTTATAGCAATTTTATGCCTAATTTGACTTTGAAAGTAGGATCGTTAATATATATGATGGAATTGTTGTCAGTTTGCTAAATCATTTTGTAGAAAAGTGGAGGGTGCTGAAAGAGCGAAGAATGCATCTGCAGATGAATTGAAATTTTACGATAAAGTAATGATCGTTTCATCGGTTAGTTTGTCGTTTTATTAAGTGTTTACATTCATTCACTTCTTTATAGCAGCATTTGTTGTTCGATTACTTTCATTTTCTTCTTCTGGTTCCTTTGAAATTCTTTGTTGACATATCTTATCATCGGAATTGTTGTTTTGATGCGTAAGGTATAGATGAGGTGCATACGATTTCATTTTCAAAGCATTTCTTCTTTATTTGCAGTACTCGAGTGCAAGACGACGTGGTACTAGTGCTGCAACAAATGCTGATGAGAACAAAACAGGTGCTGCCATTATTGCATTAGGTATCTGATTGTTAGAAGTAATCATATGCTGCGATCTCTTGTGCCGTCAGTTTTGATGATAACTATTATTTTGAAATGTGGAGTTGAAGACGAATATAGAGGAGTGTAACGTTTTAAGTAAATGAGCAAGAATTGAGTATTGAAGAGTTCAGATTGTAAATGAGGTCATTTAAGCATATACTCGAACCGTTGTCCGGAACTGAACAATTTTCGTTTTCACTCGTTAATATTATCGGAATTGGAATGGTTGATTTGTACAAATTTAATGGGATAAAATGAGTATTGATCAACGCTTCATGTTATGTTTTTATAATTAACGAAGTCTCTGATTGAATCCGAAATTTAGAAGAAACATTTTATAGTGATAAATAATTTGAGGAAATAGCTCACTGGATGATGATAGCCTTTCATTGGACTCTTTAGCAATTTCCACTCGTTCAACTTCTGCATTCACCTTATCCGATGTTTCATCTTTGGTATTCATTTCCTATTTTTTAAAATTGGTTACAGCAATAAATACAGGAACATTTTGAATGTATTATCAGATTTTTTTTCATTGTGATTTTATATTGTTTTCAGTAGAATTACTTTTGTTTTTCAGTTGTCGTTAGTTTTGAAGTCATTTCTAGTGTCACCTTGTATTAGGTGGCTCCATTTTCAGTGGAGCAGTAAGCCTGCTTAACTGTCACAAACCATTTTGTAGTCACTGTTCTATAGTTTTGTTCTCGAGCAGGTTACATTTGTGTAACATAAAATCAGTTCGTCTTCTAAGTGGTCATCCAACAAAATATTGTTCAGACTGAACATAGTTCTATTGTTTTCATTTTCAGTTCGGCTCACGTACATCATTGCAAGATTTACCATCAAAAGTATTAGAAAAGATTTTTTCGTTGTTGCCAGCAATTGATAGAATACGTTTGGAAAGGGTCAACAAAAAATTTCTAGAGGCAGCTGTTAAAGTAAGTTTGTTTTTGACTTGAATTTTATTCAGTCAGCTTTCACTATTATTCAGTGATACTCTCAATTTTAAGTTATCACATTTTTGCTTTCTTACTGAGGGCTGTTCTTTCAAATGATTTGTGGGGATAGCACATTGTTGATATCAGTCTATGAGAGCAAATTGTTCAGTTTTTGATGACACGATATTATTAGTTTTTCTCAAATTGCGAATTTCTCATGGCGTTAATTTGTTGGTAGTAACCGATTTTCCGTGAATATTGACGGATTTCATTGTTTACAATAAGTTGAAGTGCCATCAAATGGTCTAATTCTAATACTGACCGAAAATTTTCATGCAGTCATGGTCGTTCAACGATTCATTCTCGTTCGCTGATGATAGCTGTGTGAATCGCACGTTCACGGGGACGCATCCGCTACGAATTGTGCATCTAAAGGTCGTTTTTAGAAGTTTGAATTTTTAGCAAAATTTTATCAAATTTCGGATGTTACTGAAACGGAGTAGTTGTTCGGTTATTGGTTACGAACGAGTGTGGATCTTGTATCCATTAGAACTAAGCTGTCTTCGTATATTTCAGTCGTTACTTGCGCGGTGTGGTGTACATCTTCGGCGTTTGAATCTGTCGGGTGTGGTGCATTTATTGGATGAGAAAGCTTTCGAAGTTATTTCAACGTATTGTCCTCATTTACTCGAGGTTCCGTTTCACTAAAATTTGTTAATGTTCGTTCCTAACCACTTAATTGGTTAGGATAATTATAGCTGTGAACATATCTCAATATTTCTTTTAATTGAACGAGAATTGAGCATGCTGGTTTTCATATTTGAATATAAGTGCGTCTAGAATAATTATTTTCGACAGATGAGAATATCTATTCAATGGAATGCTATATAATATGGCCACACAATTTCCATTCAAGCACTTCTCCTCGAAGTTTGTCTCAGGCATAATCTAACACACCAGGCCATAATCAACCAGCTATCTTAGTACCCTGACCGCTGATTGAAATAGGCATACTTCAAATGAAATGTAATTGGTTTGCCAACACCAGTCTGAACCAATAAGGCAATTAATCCGTATGCAGAAACAGTTTCGTTTGCTTCTGTTAATAAATTCGATCAGAACAGTACTGTATTTCTGGATGGTGGTCTCTTCCTTCTTGATGTTTGAGAAAATTCAGTTGCAATAATGTTCAAACTTAATTGCTCTCAACAGTGAGCTTTGATATGGAGGGTGATGGTCATGATAATACGTACTCATTAGAAACGCTTGATTCCAGGTGAACGTCTCAGGACTAACGGGACATTCTGTGGCTTTGCGTAATTTCGGCGAATCATTGCCTCGTCTGCAATCATTTGTATATAGAGATATGGTCAATGTTGGTGATAAAAGTTTATGGTATTTTTTCAAAACGAACGGTTCGCGTATGTTGAATGTAGATCTGCGTGGATGTCGTCGTATTAAAGGACGTTGTCTTCGACTATTTTCAGCCAATCTCGAAAAGGTGTCATCTAATACATATGGCTATGTTACTTCAGTTGAATGTTCAGTCGAATACTTCCGAATCGTAACGTCACTGGTGTTTTAAATTTATAAGTGCTTATTTTCAGATCAATTTGGATGGTTGCTATCGATTAGACAATACGGCTATCGAAGATTTGTGCTTAAAGTCACCGAATGTAATCGAATTAAGGCTGAGTGGATGCTCACAAATAGACGATCAGCGTTTGAGGTTGATCACATATTTTGTCAGCATTAACCCATATTTTATCTGTTATATTGTTCATCAAATAAATATTTCAATTGGGTTTCGATAATCAGTTATGAATTGATGCCGTTTTTGTTTTTAACAAACATTCTCGTTGAAATTTTCATTCCAAGACAAAAGCGATGTGATGATTAGAGCTTATGTTTATCCGAATCCCGGTCCTACCTAGTCTTCAATATAATAAACAATACTAGTGAAAGTGTTCAAGTTAATATGACATTATAGTTTTTTTTAAATGCCAAGTATTATTGTATGCTGTGATGGCATCCGACGTCAGAAAATCTGAAAATTTTGATAGGAATTCAGATCGAATAATTTGAAAGGTCGGTTGGAATTCTGACTATCGGAAACTCAAAATGTCAGTTCGGTCGGATTTCAACCGAACCATTCCTACAGCTGAAATGATGAAATGTGAATTCGGTCAGATTCCGACCGAGATGAAATTTGGCTCGAATGCGATCACGGCTCTATGCAATCAACAATTAACAATTTGATTGCAGTTTGATAACACGCAGCATGACCGATTTGCGAACGTTCGCATTATGCGGCGACTGTTTCGGATCTCTTTCAAGTGAAGGTCTTATTGCAATATCACGACTGTCATCGCTGACCGATTTGTCGTTCGTTTTTGATAAAGCTTAATCAATTGTTAAGTATAATGCTTTTGGTGTTTGTTTACCCTTTGAAGCAGCAATTCAAGTTTATATGCAATTAATATTGGCATAGTGTCGAATTCAGATTAGATTTTAATTCGGCAGTATCAGACGAGGTTCTTGAAGCATTAATCGATGGAGCACCTCATCTAAGCTCACTGAGTTTGGCGTACTCTGGTAGTGATGCCACATTAACGGAACATTCATTGAGACGTGTCTCTGACTTAAAAAATTTAAAGACGGTAAATTCTTTGTGTGTTCTCTATCTGTTTGAATAGTGATGAGATTATTGTTGAGAAGTTGACTAAAAATATGTGAACGGAGCTTTTGTGTTGATTTTTGAAATTGAATTATTGTAAATTATGAAGATTTTGTAAGGGTAACCTTTCATCTCCAAATAGACGTTATAATCGTTAAGTAATAGCTTCACATCAAAAAGTTGTTCTTCATTTGACAATAAGTTGAATTTTCTTCAAAAGGTTGATGTAAGCTCGCTGGCTGCGGTCAATAATGATGTGTTCGAAGACATAATCAAAGGTTGCAAGCAATTACGAGATATTCGTGCTCGAAGTTGTACGTATTTAGGTGATGACGGTGTTTATTCATTGAGAACACTTCGTTTTTTGGAGCATGCTGATTTCAGCGGTTGTCTATTGGTTTGTTTTGTGTTGGTTTATTTGATCAAATAGTGCAGTTGCTTTTTGACTGATCGATTAATTGTTCAATGATAAATGTTTGCCTTTCAATATGACCGAACTTATTATTCGTTGCTCTTTTTGATGAATACTTGTTAATGGAACACATATTCAGCGTACTGAAAGCTATTGTTTTTAAGAGTAACACATTTATTTCTGTGTTGTATTAGCAGTGGTCGCTTACTGAGCCGAATTCTTTGAATTCCCTGTTTCAGTTAACAACAAAAGGTGTTCAAAATCTTCTGAACGCTTTTCCTCGGCAGTCAAAAAATTCTGTTGGAGAGGTGAGTGAGTTGGACTTATCTTTTGTTAGTGTATGAATGATGATGACATTTAGTGTGTTATAAGAATGTGATATTGTTGGTGTTAGCGATCGAGTCAATGCTAGATGTTAAGCTAGAGTGCGACCGTTGTGTCTTCGAAAAAGAGTGCGACCATTGTGTCCTCGAAAAATGATTTCTTAATTTTTGAATTCTTTAATGACGAAAGCACTTTCGGCTCCTCTGGCATCATCTCATCGAGCCATTTTGTGAATTTCCAGGTCGCCTCGTCGTTAATGGAAACACGATTAAAGTTTGGTCCACTCTCCATCTCACCATATATTTGTTTTTGTTTGCCCCTTTTTTAGAGCGTCTTTATATCTTGCCTGTAGAGAAGTAGTGCAGTGAACAAAAATTTCAACAAGATTAGACTTAAAGCGAATACTGAACAGTCACTGACGAAGTCGTCAACTATCGGACAAGTTGTTATTTTTTCAGATTAAGAGAAACTGTAATAAATCAACCAAAGAAGACTTGTTTCTTTTTGTTATCCATTCGTTCTGTGGAGTTGAGCAAAATCTAATCAGCATTCGATGACTGGCAACCTTATGAGCACAATTCTCGAAAGTTTCGTTTCTTGTACTAGTTCGAGAAAGGAAGAGGCAGAGTAAAAATGCAGGTGAGATGGAAAGTGAAGTGAAAACCTTAAGTGCGTTTCCTGTCGACCTGGAAAGTAACTTATTGGATCGCAGGGGGCTTATAAACGTCTTTAACCTTAAAAAGTTTGAAAAATTAAAGTTTAAATCATTATGCATTTGTGCAATATTTTGTGGTAATGTGGATAATTAAGAAAGAAGATCGGTTGAATGCGATAACGGTAGTTGTTGGTGGTAGTGTATGCGATGTGTCAGCATTGAGAACACGTGCCACTCGAATCGTTATTGATCCTGCCGACTACAGTTCCCTGTCCAGCAACACAGCTCGCGATCTTATCATCAGTCGGTCCGGCGTTCTCGGTATACTTCTTGAAAATTGATTCAATTGTTCATATTTGCATGCGTCCACTGAGATTTATCTTATTGTTCGTTGTCTGACGCAGACTTGATTGGTTTTTTAACAAGTGAAACTAGTGTGTTATGGGAAGTACAGAATTTATTGTTAAAACCGCATTATGGATTTGTTCTATTTTACCCTACAGACTGATTTGTTTCGACTCATTTTATGCTTCTTACTTTGACTCCAGTCTCAATTTTTATGTTTTCGTGGAAAATGCGAGGATCGGCGATGGAGATCAGATGAAGTTTTTATTTCGAAATTCCTGTTCTCGCCTCCGGTTCCGGACTTTTTCCAATACGGCAGCATTTTCGGGACTCTGGCTTGAAATTCTATCTTCGATACTCTCGTTCTGCCACTTTTTTTTCCTCCTCGCAGCACCTTACATGAGACCATTCAACATTTACGAAAAATTTTCGGCTATTCGCTCTTTGAGCTGTAGATTCAGTTAGCAGTAGAGGGAGAATGAAGGATCTTGCTTATATGGTTGATATGTTATGTGACAGATTAAATTTCTAAGTCTGCTAAGCTCACTAGTTATCGTGCATAAAATTACGTTATTCCGTATTCGGAATTGTCACATATCGCGGTGCAGTTGCTGATACAAATCAATCTCTCCAAGTGATGCTTATATGCACGGAAATAGTTGCGAAACAGGATTAGACACTTCATTTGGAAAGTCTGATGAAAGAGACTTCATTTCTCTGCATAGCAAATGTTTTACTGCTACTGAAGAGTTGCTATTGAATTGCAGAAATATGCGTGGACTCTGACGAGGATGTGTCTGGTGATGAATTTGAATCACTCACTGCCCATAGTATGTTATTTACTTTAGTTATTTTTATTATTTTGCATATTCAAAGGAATCGTTCGTCGTTTTTTTTTCAAACAATCTTTCTGTCGTCATCAAAGCAAAGATAATTTGATCTGTTCATTATTCTTGTTATCGTAAACTGCCTCGTTCTATTATTAATATTATCATTTGTTGAATATTTCCATGTTAACTGGTTGGTGAAGAAATGTCGGAATTTATATGCCGTCAAAAGTTTCTCTTTGATGTCATTCAATAATTGTTTTCGATTACGTGTGGAGAGGTAGTTGACCAATTTATTTGTAACCAACTTTTGTTTACTTCGAGGATCTTTCATAATGGATACACTGAATATCGAAGAAGATGATTCGCCGATGGATAGTGAACAATCAATCAAAGAGTGGGCCGAGAGAGAAGCTCGACAGTTGGGTCTTCTGAACAAATGAATGCTGCACTTTACCAGCATTATCACAAGAAGTTTTGCTATCGTTACCCACAACACTGACCACAATTCATTACCTCGACACTTGTCAGCCAGGACCCTTCCTAATTAGCCAATTCTCATGAAGTACTCCGAGGTCATCACCGATTTGTTGGTCATAAAAAGCGACGCGGTAAACCTAGCACGCTTTCCCAGTTCGTTGTTCCAGGTGTACTTCTTTGGTCGTTTGTTGAATCGCAATTGCTGAAGAAATCGTTTGCAGTAAACTGTTGAAATTATTAAATTATTTCTAAAGTTTTTCTTTTATTCGCTGATATGTTTGGATTGTTTATCTCGCTGTTGTAAGCCATCAGAGTTGTTTTTTTTTTATTGCTCAGTATTTGATAACTCCAATTTTTATTGCTTTTTGGTCTTTATATGACAAGTTGGTGCTTTGTTTGTCACATCTTAAAACTCTATTTCGATCTAGTCATTTTGGTTTGATTTCGATTGGATGTTAGGGATTTATATGTTATGTAGCATTAGAAAGAGTGAACGAAAATATGCACTGCTTGTGTACAGACAATTTCAGTTGTTGAAATATACTGAATACGAACATTGTTATCGAACAACGATCAACGATGAATTTGTCTTTATCGTTTAATTCGATTGCGTTTATGTATTTGATAAATTATCGGCAATGCTTTGTCGTTTCGGCCTCACCCTAAACAGTCTCGCTTCTCTGAATACAGAAAATAGCATTCTCATCTTTATTTTATTATCGGATTTTTTTGCTCTTATTCCAAGTGCGCTTCGATGAATCAGAATCAGTTTACGATAAGGAGAAATTTCAAAGTATGAAAGTTAGTTGTTTATTCAACACTTGAAAGTGACGATACACACAACGGACAAAGACACGTTATCATCGCATTATGTGACACGTAACAACGAAAACAACTCAAAACAACAACTCAACAATGAAAACTAATTCATTTATAAAAAATTCATGTCAGCAGACATTCTCTTAATTTATATTTAACTATTAAAAAGACATCTTCAGATCCACTTTTTCAACCATAGCGTTCCTACACATTTCATACTAAAGAATTTCATTGGAATCTATTTTATTTTGAACATCGATCTATTTTACTCATAACCAATCAAATTTGTGAGATCCACTTGAAAGTTGACGTTTTATTCGCTGAATTTCTTGAATCTTAACTAGCTTGAACACCTCACCCAGGACTGTCCGTAGCCATCCGGTTAGACAAGACGGCAATGAATCAAAAATGTTTTTATGAATAAAACGTCCTATGCATACTAATGTTTCCAATACCTTTTGAATGGTTGAAAAGATGTCCTTTCGAAATGTTTAATGAAGATTACAATTCGCATCAATTCATCGAATGAATCATTCATATACTTGTATTCTTGTCCAATAATTGGTTTACAGGCCAGTAATTACAAGAACATTTGAATAAAAAATCAGTTCATCAGTACCGCTCAATTTTTTCAGAACGTTATCATCACAGCCATCTTCGATCATTGTTCACACATATCTTAATGTGAAACTTCAGCTTTTCTCCAACAAGTTCTACTGGACGAAACATCAAACTTGGGCATAATTTATCACACGTTACAGATGCATATTATACCGCAACTAATTGCCATTCAGACGCGTTGGTATAAAAGCAACCTAGTCCCGAGATATAGGCTCACGGTTAGCCTTTGGTTGAATGTAGTTGAACTAAACTTGACTGAACATAATCCAAACATCAAATTAAACCTTCTGAGGTCTGTTTAAGTTTAATTCAGGCCTACGTTGAGCAATAACGCTTTTATTTTACGCCGCACCGATTTTGATCGGCGCATGGAAGAAAATGACTACAGCGACCAGATAAATCCCTCAGAATGCATGCATTAAATTCAAATCTTCATGGATATTCTAAATGAAGCAGTATTCAGAAAGATGGGGAATCTATTGAGTCACAAAAGAAAAGTTATCTCTTTAGTTGCAGTAGATGATTATAGATGAATACCTTCACTTGAATCTGTACTCTGTTCGTCAGTACGGGATTTTGAAATGAATCGTCTTTGTTCCCTTATCTGATATTTGAAACGACAACTTTGGAGTGAATAAAAGGAAAAGCGCAATAAAAAAGATAAATTATCAGCAGTCATAATCGAATTTCATATAATCGGAATCGAATTCCTGAATTCTGATATAGCCATCCTCTCCGCCAGATACAACACAGTTGCCACTTGGATGGAATGCAAGTGTATTTATTGGACCGAAATGTCCTTTGAATCTCGCGAACTCCTCTTCAAACACCTGCAGAATACACAATAATAACTGACCAAGCAAATTCTATACGGTAATGTCAAGCAACCTCATAAAAATTTACTTCTAGTTCAGTTTCTTAATCAATAAAAAACGTGAGATAATATGTTAGAGGTGCGAAACAACATTTCATTTTTCGTATATTAAAGTGGGCGAGGGCTGATTCCAACGCATATATGTGTATAAAGAAAGCGAGGGTGGACTTACTTTAACGTATGATTTTTAAAAAGGCTAGAACGTATTTCAATGGTATACAATTATCTACACCACAGAAACTCACTGTAGGGGATGAGAGGTACGGAGTGGATGTTGTGAGGGGTGTGAGGATATCTTGAAATTTTTAATGGGTGCGAGCAAGAAGAAAGATTGAGAAACACTATTCTAGTTGATATTCAAAAGAAAATGAATGATGTAGACGTGAACATCATTAGTATTCAACTCGGGCGGCTATTACTTGAAGAGTGATCAGAAATTAATCGAGCGGCATACCATATGATAGAGTTTCGCCTCGAAATGACCAGATGAGAGTGCTGTTTGCGTAACAGTCATAGCCTCTTCACCACCACCAAGCACTATATGATCTCGAGTAGGAGAGATCGCTGCTGAGTTTACAGGTCGTTCGGCTCTACAAAAACCATTATAGTCTTGTATGATTCAGTTTCTTATTTGATCACCTTATCTGTATACGATGTACTTCGTTATAAGAAGTCGGTCTTAGAGAAAGCTAATTGAATGGCTTATTTCACAATTCCTTAATATAATATACGATTTGCAATCAATGAAAAATAAACTTTGCATCATATAAAAAGAAGGTAAAAAATGAAATAAACGAACTTGTATGTCTTCAACAGGTCCAATGTTTTTGCGTCGAAAAGTTTCGCTGTTTTATCTTTTGATGCCGTAATCAAAAAGCTCTGATCACTATTCATTTGCATATCATGGATTTGAAATTTATGCGCATTATTATTGAAGTTCGACACCTCACCTCCTCGTATTTCATAATGATGCAAATTACCTTTTTCATTTCCTGTAAACAAGATATGATCTCCTGACAGAATGAACATGCTGAAAATATGGCAAACGACTATAATATGGTATCGACTGAATGTGTTGATAAATATGAGACGGATTAGTTAAATCAGCAAAAAGCAGGATTCAATTAAAAACAAATGCACTAAATCGATAACACTAACCTATACAAACCGTATCATCAAGATGCGTCCAAACACATGAATTTGCTTGGTTATTCAATTGACTTTTCAATGTCGGCTGTGATTCACCGGTCATTTGAGAGCCATCACGAATATCGTATACGCACAATAATGCCTATTCAATACATTCATCTCTTATCTAGTTGATTAACTATCATTATTTAAACACTGATAACAAAATTTGTTGGTTTAGAGAAATTAAAAGCTTGTTGTCCGTTAAGAATTGCCAGTCATGTGTAACGAATAAAAAAGTATTAAACATAAAATCCGTACACAAACATGAAGTAAAAAATCCAGTTTAAATCTACGAGGATGAATTCAAGAATAAGACGTACCATATTTTGAGTCATTTTGATTGTAGTGAATGCAAGAAGATTACCACTATAAGACATTGCAATTGACCTCGCTACAGTTGGAGTGGTTAGAGAATGCAGTACTTCACCACGCTCACAATCCCACAACTATAAATTATCAAGTTCTGAGTAAGATCACACCTGATGCATGACATGAATGAAAAAAATATGCTATAGCGTGAATGAATATTACTCTTGTAAAAATTAAATTAACACAAATGCAGCTGGAATCATTCATGAAAACCTTCTGAAGTATCACCACTTTCACCGTGCCACTAAATTGAACAATAATAGAGTGAACGTGAAAAAAGCATAATTGAACCGCAACTGCTACAATGACTAACCTTAACAGAACCATCACCCGATGCAGAACATAAATGCGTTGTATCCCACGAAACATCTATATCCCATATAACACCGCTATGTCCATCATAAGTTCCAATGCGTTCACCATTCTCTGTATACCATACAGACGGTGACTTATCTTTAGCGGCCGAAAACAGCAGATCACCATCGCGATTTATGCGGACACGAGTCAATGCCCTATCATGCCCTTTCAAAGATAGAGGTCTCATCGCCTGAAAACTTGTTTCATCATTCTTTAGGAACGTTGCTTGGCTCTCCTAACCATAATCTGCAACATACCAAACACCAAACGAAATAACTTTACCAGCACAACTGATTATACATATTAAACTGAATGAGAGTATGATAAGCATTCGCAGGTTCAAGCTCTATATTCATTAACAAAAAACAATTATTAGTAGCGCTTTTAAACAACAACTTTATGAGAGAACAAAACATTTTTGTGATTGAATTGGAAAGTATATTAAAAGTTCCAAAATTCGAATAGCCAACAATACTGAGACTAGGCTTTCCACACAACCTTTAATGGCATTTAACAAACGATACGAAAAACCCCAGGTCATATACAATTTCAGCTGCCTCTTGCTTATCAAGAATAAATTATAAAAAATGTATGGTTGCGTAGCAAATGCATATAAAATCGCTCGTTTATGTAAAAGCGATCGTTCATAGCACACGGCAAGTTGGACATTCCTCGCAGTAACTCACTTCTACATAAGTGGTCATAATCAGAGTGAGATACGGTAATTAATTGCATTTCGACTTGGGCTTGAGCTGAGGCTCGTATCGAGGGAGCATTTATTTCTGAGATGGCTACTTCGTCCCACTATGGCAGAGCCATCAGTTTGTTTAAGAGATACCTCAGCTCTGGTATGAGCTTAGTCTAGCCCAAGCTCAAATGTAATGCATCGTCATACTTCACTCTGATTACCGCCACTTAGAATCGGTTATCTGGCAGTTATGAAAAGAAATGCCCCAAATATTTCTACTGACTTTACGATCGGCTAGAAGATTATGTTCAAGTTGAAATTCAGTTCTAACTTGTGGATTGCCTTGAATGATTATTTGATCTATTGTATCGATCATATAACCACGAATATTTATTCATTCATTCAAACCGTCCAAGTTTCGGCGTTTGATACTATGGGTTACGCATGGTCCGAACTAGAGTTGGTAACCGGCAGTTTTTCCTGATGGCCACCGATTTAACTCTACTTAGAGCACGGAGTAGTGATCTACAAAACTCGTAAGAATGTAACAGTAGACAAGGATGTATTTTGACTTCGTCTACTCGGATTAGTCTGGCTTACGCTTGTGTTCAGGCTTACGTTTAGGCTTAGGCTTACAAGGGGCTGAAATATATCCATTGCACTACTATGTGCGTACGCTGTAAAAGCGACTGCACGAAATAACTGTTAAAGTATGAAATACAATTAACTGGATTAACTTGAACAAGAATCCAAATCCAATTCTATCCCGAAATATATTGAGGAAAATCTTAACCTTGTATATGAAGAACTGTAAAGGAGGCAAACGCAATGTATCTTTGAGAATTTTGTTAAACAAGGCATAGAATGAGATCTGATCTGAGTGTACCCCTCTGCGATTTTACATTTCGGGTGAACCTGATGTGAGCAAGAACCATATGTAAGAACATATATCATCACACATAGATCTCAAATTTTTATACTGGATAACAATTAAACAGGTCGGTCAAAATGATGGGACACATTTTAATTGTAAGGGGACATCTCATTGTTGCGTAACTTCAACGTTTCCGTTTCACTCTCGCTCGCAGCAGATTGTTTCGAACAAAGACATCAGTAGGCACACTATGATCGAACATAAGTTGCTAAACAAGCGATCCTATTATAAGCCTAAAATATGTGTTAGCCCCTTTGCCAAAGACTATTCACCCAGTCCTCTGCGTCGTTGACTACCCGAAAGAGAGCATGCAAAATCTATTCTCACCTCAATAATCTAACCTCAACCGATTCCTAACATTTTTACTCATCCTTGAGGCACTTTTCATCGTATAATTCAGCAGGAGTATAATTCCATTGCAGGTTCTCATTTAAATGCATTCATATTGGTCAGTTGCTATTGTCAAATAAAATCCACTTTTAAGTACTAGTTTGTTCTCGGTATCCGAACATATATTCATAGTGTTACTAAAGCTCATTTCTTTTTTATGGGAACCACAGCGTAAACAAACCAGCATCTTGGGTGGCATACGGTGGACACACCTTTGATGAGCATCATTTTTGTCGGCGTTTAGACTTGTCTTGGACGTATTTGTCGGTCACCCCGTCAATCTGGCTATAATCTTCAAGTGTAGTGACACACAACAAATGACTGATTGCGTTTCAATGCCATAATGTGAATGAGCATTTTACAGGTCCTAGAATGAATTTTAGATCACAGTTGCTGTTGTCTGTGATTTGGTGTTGCATTCTCAGAGACACTTACCAGCTAATTTTTTCAAACGTTCACTAGGACGTGTGTCGAGGTACATTTTGCTAGCGGACGCACAGACAGTGATAGTTGTTGCGTTATGTAACTGTCACTATATACGGAGCATCAACGTAGGATGGTGCTAAGAATTTATATCAATCGCGGGAAGGAATTATTTTTTAACTTCCAATGATAATCGAGCAGTTACCGTGTTGAAAATCTTTCGCATATCCCCCGTTGTGTCTGATGTTTTTGTATGAAGCGTAGAAACTTGGATACGGAACTGTATAAATTCGGGGAATAAATATTATTCTAGACTCCTCGCTTGTAGCGTATTGATATGGCAGTTTTCGTGTTAGGTTTCTTTTGTTCAATTTTATAAGCAGTAGTTGAATGCATAAAGATTGCATCGCCTGTAGTCGTCATCCAAGTTTTTGGCTATGAAAAAATCAAGAAACTCGAAAACACATCTGATGGTTCTGAAATTAAGTGGTTCTTCAACATACGAATCATAACGGATAACTTTTTGATTTCTTTCTTTCTTGGTGTTCAATTTCCTCTTCCAACTCCTAGAATGTGTGTTTTATGAGGACGGCATTGAAATGGTTTTTTCTTTCTGCCTTAAAGAAAAGAATGCATGCTCATGTCACAGTAAGGTGTATGCGTTTTTTCCATAAAAATGCTATTTTGCAAACGTCTTCGTTTCCATGCTCTAAAAGATTATTTGCTGGTTAAACTATGTGTCTTTTCAGGCCGAAACCATGAAATACATGGGCGCTTATCTTTTAGCAGCTTTGGGTGGCAATCAGTCGCCGACAGCGAAGGACATTGAACACATTCTTGGTTAATTTTTGTAATTACAAGCTGTGGATTAGTACAGTTGATTGGGAGAAATGTCGATAATTCCAGTGTTTTTGTTCTAATTTTGTTCTGCGTATAGTCAACTTACAGTTCTCATTCTGAGAATAAATTTCCCCACGACCTCTTACAATCAGCTACGAAACTGGACTTGAGCTGGGATGAAAACTGTCCCTAGAGAGTGATGGATTATGTTCATATTCAGTTCCTTATTCAATACTGACATTATTCAGCCTCAGTTGGACTCGACGTTGATATGGAAGATGCAAATAAGGTCGTTTCTGCCTTGTCTGGAAAGTCTGTGGAGGAGGTTCCTTTTTATTTCTGCATCTTTTATTTGTTTAAAATTTCGCCATTTTACTTTACTGTGTTTTGAAAAAACGGCAATTTGGCCGTATTTCACAAGTGTACGTTATTGATACAAAACATCCGGTAAATACTTCAAAAACGCCTATTTCGCAAAAACGCTGCATGCCGTTGATCAGAATTAGAATGATTTTTGCAAAATATGAATGCGTGTGTGACTTGATTGTGTCAAAATTATTAAATGAGGTCGCCCAATTTTGCCAAATTTCAGGTGATCTCTGCAGGTATAACAAAAATAGGAAGTGTACCAAGCGGTGGTGGTGGTGGTGCAGCTGCTGCGCCCGCGGCTGCTACGGGTGCTGCTGAAACTGCTGCAGCACCTGAGCCGGGTACAGTTTCGAACTTAATGATTTCTTTTTCGTTTGAGAATTCGGTCGGATTCTGACCGAGAAATTTCGAAGTTCGGCCGGGATATCAGATATCGGAATGTCATAAGGTTAATTCAGTCGGATTCCGACCGAACTAAAATTTCGTTGGAATGCCATTTTTACTGTGCATATATTTATGACATTCTGGTCGACATTTTACTGTGCTCTTTTGTTCTTATGTGTAGCATTTCGTAGTGTATTTTAAAAATCAAATTTCAGCTAAAAAAGAAGAACCGCAAGAAGAATCTGAAGACGAAGATATGGGATTTGGTTTGTTTGATTAAAGAAGTGCAGATGAGTGGTCAGATGTTTCTTGTTATGGTGATCGACGATTTTGCTGTTAATGTTCATTTGCATTGTGCTGCATAAATGTGAATTGGTTCTTTGGTGTACATTCAAGTTGATGTCTCATTGAATAGCATCGTTGTTTATTTACTGCACAGCAATCTTTTCTTGTCTACTAATGTGATCGTTTGAACGTGTTTCACAACCAGAACACTTATCAGCTTCCAAGCTCTTCTTGATTTTCATCTTTTAGCTCTAATTATTTTCGTTTTGTGGTATTCGGCTAGTGGAAGAGTGCCAACGTCATCGAGTTTTTTTAATTTACAGAGCAGTCGATTGTCTAGTAAAGATATTTTAAGCAATGAAAGACCACCCACCATCATTGTGGGGTTACGTTAAATATTTCAATAAAAGTTATTTGGTTTACTGGATTGTTTATTGGTTACATCGTTGAGTGCTTCAATTAATGGGCCTGTTAAGGTTTCAAATCACTGGGTGATCAAATAGAAGTGAATAATGCTCGTTTGGACAGGTTTGTACTCAAGCACAACATTGTGACAAGAAACGTTGGAATTGACTGTTTGAGAACAAATATGCGGGGGTAGAAGGACACTGGATTATTCAGATATCTTGGAACTCGAGTGCGTTTTAATACTAGCGGTCCTTATTGTTAGGTGGAGCGAAGGTAGCGAGCGTATGGTCCGCACGAGTAAATCGCAATTACAATGAATATCTAGCTAGTAGTGGTGAAGTTAACATATTGAGTTATGGAGGTGTGACTTACAGGAAGTAGAATAATATAGGAAACGGTGAACTTAAAACTGAAAAGGAGCACTTCTAAGGATGATACATAAGATTTGAATATGTTTGTGATGAGAACACAAAGCTTGTGTAGAATTAATAGGAATTAAGATAAAGCAACGAACGGACATATATGAGTTACATGGCGATATATGTGCAGGTGATTCAACATACGGATGCATTTGCTTGAATCGTGTATGCTACATGACTGAATAAGTGTTTGTCATGTTTACTGGCTACAAATAAAAAATTCTCAAGATAATCGCAAATAAGATTAAATGCATGGTAAGACATAGACACTACAGCAAAGAAAGACTCGTGAATAAGACTATTCGCGACATCAAAGTTGAATCAAAATCGGAATCACAATTTTCGTTTTTGGAAATTTTTCGATTCGAAAAATTGCCAGGATCTCTCACATTTTTCATCCGAATAGAAAGAAATGTATGGGTGGGATTAAAATTTTAGGGTAGAGTTGAATCAAGCCGTCAAATACGCACGAATTTTCGAGGCGCTCGAATCCTATCCTTTTACTATAAGGGACCCCCGAGTCCTATTCAACCGCCGATCCACCTCTACTTGAGGGCAATCCTAATAGTAAAGAGTGGTGAGCCTCACAATCAGCTTCGAGGTAGGCCTCATTCTGTTTCCCATGACAAATCGCATGAGGTCTTCGAATTGGGAATGAAGTCGAAATTTCGATCAAGCTTAAATGGAAATGGTTTGAAAGTGTGCGAACCTTCGGTGGAATGTTTATGATTTTGAACATTTAGAGCATTTGTTCCATATGCTGAATTTATCAGCACGTCAAATCATTAAATGGATACTAAGAAACACAACTAAGTCAACAGAAAGTTTAACACCGGAGATTGTGTTGCGTCTTATCACTGACGTATGCCCGATGTGGATGGCTACACCGGATCAATGTCCATTGCCAGATCCTTACTGGGCATTTTATTGGCCTGGTGGACAAGCCTTAACACGGTTCGTTGCTTAAAGTATCACTTAGGCAGTATGTCAAAAACTGCATCTGGCAAGTGCTACCGAATTGTAGCATGTGCATATGAAAATGTTGTGTTGAAAGAATGAAATGTACTAGGTTAATCTATTGATGCCCTTAATCGTTCGTTTCATATCGCTTCTCTGAAGCGCATACAACGTGATGAATGCTCATCGAATATACCTGGTTTGGCTAGGTTATCAAATGTTTGTAACGTTGCTGGCCACAGTACTCGCGTTTCTGTGCAATCCTTGCTCATCGAATACAGTTCTAACTAATTATGAAAGAATTGTGAGAAAAACCATCTTCATTAGTGGGGAGGAGAGTGCCCACTGGGGTTTAATGTATACATAATATAATGTACATAATAATGTCTCGTCGCAAACATACAAATAATTCGTTTGGACGTTCGAATATCAGAAATGATCGATTGTTGACCCAAAAAAAATGGAGATGTTTCAACAATAAATGTGAAGTTCATAAATTGTTCTTTCAGTTTCGTTCTTGATAATCGAAATATGTTTGTGGGAAAGAAAGTTTTGGATTTTGGTGCCGGTTGTGGTGCCACTTCGATAGCTGCTGTGTGGAGTGAAGCAGAGCATGTTCTTGTTAACGATATTGATATCAGTTAGCGATTTGTTCACAAAAATACTTTTCATTCATAACGCTTTCAGCACTCGATGATTACGGACTATTCGGGATTCGTCGAGCATTTATCAGGATGACAAGTTTTCTTCGAATATGGGAATTTCTGAGACCCCAGCTCTGAAAAATAAGCTATTTAGTCTAGAATCGACCCATGTCAAATTCGCTTCAAAAACTTATTTTGAAAGGTAGCTTGTGAATTTGTTCTTGGCCTAAAGTGCCATATTATTTGATTTTGGGATTTCGGAGTTTCAGCGATGTCTCAAAGATGCCATTCGATCTAGTAACAACTTTTGCACAATTCCACTTAAAAAAAAAAAACTAGTTTAAGAAGTCGCTGGGTCAGACTGTTTTCTTGCCTACAGCGTCTAACAGTGCACAGTGTAGTTGGCGCGACCTTTCAGCTGAAAAATTTTCACTGAACGTTGATAGAGATTATTAACGATCGAAACTAAACGATTTCGGAGTATTGAGCTAAGAACGTTTCGAATGTCGAAATTCGACATTACTGCGCCTAAAACAAAACAAAATTTGACCAAGCCATCTTTCATTTCAGCATTTTATCTTATTGTTAGTAAAATTTCACAGGGATTACTTCTAGACTAAATGGCATATTTTTCTTAGCTGGGAAATGCACTTTCCTGAGCTTCAATCATTCCATACGTCGTAATTCGTCACTCTAATGTACATCATTCATTATTTGTTCAATTGCACAATGATTAAAATGACAGCGCTCTTATCTCTATCACTGCACGATACGTTATATTACAAAGCTTTCAGGTGCGATACTTGCATCTCGACTTAATTTCAAAGTTAATCGAACCTCACATTCGCATGTAACATTCTCTAATTTGAATTTATTACATCCAGCCAATGCTCCCATATGGTCCAACTTTATCTCCGTGAGTTTCTCCAACATTATCTTCTACTATTCACCCCACCACTTTTGTATTATCCATCTTGTGGTAAAGTTAGCTGAAAGTTTTAATTCTCTGAAATCGTCCATAGAAATCATCCCAGCTGAATTCCGTATCTCATAATAGTTACCGTAATATGCAGTGTTCATGATATTAAATAGACTAATTAAGAAGAACCGAACTGAGTTAATAAGACATTATGTGTTTTGATATTTCAGGGGCAAAAAACATTTGTGTTACTTGGTGATATGTTCTATGATGTTGACTTTGCAAGAATTGTTTTGAAATGGTTACAGAAGTAAGGAAACGACTGATTTCCAGTTATTCGTTAGCTTGATATTCAGTTTTGTTTAGCATGCAGCTGAATTTATCACTCTTTGTTTTGATCCGAAAGTGTATTGCAATTTCGTATTTATTTATTTTATGGTTCTTGTTGCTGCAGATATAAATTTAAATTTTCGTTCTAATGAAACGGTATGTGTGAAATTTTTCAAGCTATCATTTAATCATATTAATAAAAACAAAACTGCAGTATCCTTTAATTTAATAGCATCGCAAAGTGGTTTATCTTTTTGGAAACCTTTTGCATGAATTCCAGCCGTGACTCTTCCTATGCTTCTCCTTGTGCTTGCAAGCATAATTTCAGTCTTTTTTGTGCCCTGTATTCCACACCCATATAGCATTATTGGCAATATGTATTGATTGAATAAACGCCTTTTGGGTTTCACGGCAGCATTTCCGTGTTCAAGAAAATTCTTTTTTAAGCAACACTTTCTATCTTTGTTGTATCACTCTTCTGATTTCCTCTTCCATGTCTTTAAATACAGTTAAGTAGGAAGATTGTATTCAGTTTGCAATATTCCTCTGAATCAAAAGGGTCTGTTGGCTTTTTACGTATCAAAGTCAGTTAGGTAATTGCCGAGGAATTCCGTATTTAGGTTTTTATTATCACCTTTTCATAAAAAATTGTAATGAGCTTAATTTCATAACAATGAGACATTTCTTGAAGAAGTTCACGATGAACGAACAATTGAGAACATCTTTTAGAGTTCAAAACGATGGCGATATAACAATTTTAATCGGCGATCCCGATCGATATCCACTCACCGATCAAAACTATCGCCAACAAATCGGCATTCAGTTCAGAAAACGTCTTCTTCATGAATACGCTCTTCCTGGTTACATCACCAAACAACATTATGGTTTCACATCAGCGAAAGTTTTTCAAATCGATCTTCTCTGACAATACGATGCGTTACTAATCGGAAGAATTTGTGTTGCAACAATATTTTGTTGAATAAAAATGTTTATTGACCAATCAATATCATTCGAATACAACAATTTCTTCAAAGCTCTAAATGATGAGGCACGATGTCTTTAAGATAGAAGCAAACTGAATATGCAGCCGTGTAAAGGGTGGAAAGAAGTATCGCAATCAATATTATTGACCTCAGATAAGAAAGTGTATTGTTATGTTTTGAATTGTGTAGACGTACGACTGTTATCATTAGCACTGCTAGGCTTATGAAGAATATATTACGACCCTGCAAGAGATATCGCTTTATTTCAACGATTCTTAGCTTTTTTTAAAGTGTTATTTGCATTTGTTTACCATTTTGAGATTTACTGTTTTGATGAACTCTTGCAAATATTGACTCTTTGCTACTAATGCGATGGTGATAATAATCAGATTCAACATTCGAATCTTTAAAACGAATGAAGACATTACTCCTGATCTGAGCATGCTTACGACTGTCACAAAACAAAGCACTATTGCCTGAAACAAGTTTTAAAAAACAACCTCAACGAATTGTTCACTGAGTATCGCCTGAGACGCGTACTGAATTGACCATGTTATGAATATGGCGTGTAGAGCACCAAATACGATAATGAATGCACTCATCAATCTCCATAATCTGCTTTCTGGTTTTTGCATTAAGCACAACATTGTTCCAAGCGTATATACAGGAACATAAATCCACCAGTCTTTATCCGACTGAAATTTTAATGCGTCATCACATAGACTTGAATAAAATCAGCCCAATTTCTACTAATTTCCCCCAGTTGTTTGTCACATCTTATATTTACTCGATCGAAAAGTCCATTTGCAATGTCCACAGAGCCATAAAATGACACGTCCATAGAGCCGTCAATTTTATTTTACTGCTTCCAACAATTTTTTCCATCCTTATTCGTTGATTTTGAGTAAAAACTTTCTCTTCTTCAAAATGAAGTAATTTTAGATGTTTTTTGTAAAAAAAAAAGCCAATCCTGAATATCTACATTATAGAATCCTTTAAATTTAAATGAATAACAAACCATACCGTATACTGAATAATCGCTCTCAGAATAAGCAGCATAGAAATGGTGATTTCACTGAACTTCAACATTGAATTCATGATGTTTCATTAATTGACAATAAAGTGTGATCCAATAAAACAGAATGCTGAAACCGACACGTCTCCTCTGCGTCCTTTATCAAGAGTGTAACTGAGTGTTGTGTCATTATCATATCAACTTCACTCTCGATGCATCCTTCTTTTCCTCTAATTCGCAATCATGCTCTCGTTAATTTCGTCAAACCGTTCATACTCTCTTACAATAACGAACATTCATCACATGTTCCACTTCATTATTATGTCTCTGTTCGTTCTATTTTCATATCAATGTTCTTGATTATGACATCTTTGTATTTTTTTTTGTTTGCTTAAAACTACGGCTGCATTAAGACACTCCATAAGTCATTAATTTCATATGACCATTGTTTGTGTTTACTCACCTGAAAGATAATTTTTGACTTGGAATTATAATACTGCTATTCACAAAAAAATCACCAAGTAGTATTATCATAGATAATATAAGAACTGAGAAGCTAGGAGATGTAATTCTCTCAAGTTTTTTTTTTGGAGGAGGGGAACCTATCTGAGGAGATTGGATGTAGAATTACCAAGATTTTTAAGGCGGAAAAGGAACCGCTTAAACATACGAGAAAACACGAAAGTATCGAAGCAGCATTAAAATCAGGTTGGAGAATTGTACTTATGTTGACACAGCTCTCCAACTTGATTTGAATGCTGCGTGTTCTCCATGAAAAATTACAAGTTATGCACGAGGTAATTCAAAAAGAAGGGGTTATATAAGCGTCCCAATTTTTTTGAGGGAACAAATGCAAGAGGGATGTCTTAAGGTTGGTGGGGGGCAGGGTATCTTTGTAGCAAAACTGTGTATTTGTACATATAATTCTAAAATGCCTGCACTTCTGATAAGGATGCGATTAGGGTTTGCAAAATCCTGCTATTTTCTCAATCCCGATGTCGAGATTTAAGCCCGAGATCGTTTTTGAACCCAGGAACGATCTCGGGATTGATAAACAACTTTGGAAGTACAGAAATGTGCCATGTTTAACACACTCTCTTTGAACCTATGTGTTCATAATTAACCAGAAAACAGTTTATTCAACAAATCATTTAACAAAACTCAACAAATTCAACAATATAAAACAACTGAAACAAAATCGTAATGAAATGAATAATCATTTTGACGAAAAATATAATCTTAAGATTGACACAACAACAACAAATTCAAACAACAAAATTCAATGAAACTTGAAATGAGGCTTCAGAAAGGTTGTAGCGTTAATTATTGCATCACTCATCCGATTTCTCAATGTTGCACAAAAAAAGAAAATCCGGAGAAGGCTTGCTCACTTTTTTACACTTGTCGGTGGGATCGTTTTAATACAGTTGTGAAATTTCTGCATATTTGTTGCCCTTTCCTTTGTCGCTTCCAACAAATGCATTTCAGAGATTCTTTGATGTTTGCTTCATTACTTTCTTCACAACTTCGCGATTTTGGGAATTCATCACTTCTATTTTCTTTGAGAGACAGTATCGTGTTCATTCACAACCTTGGATGAATCAGTTGCCATCAATTACTTGGACTTTGGCTTATCACCATTTATGGTGCTTGCACCGAATAACCTTGAAAATAAATTTACTAGTAGCTCAATAATATTTTCTTTTACGATCTTATACTCCATATAATCTGTTCCCTTCCGAATGTTATCTTACCAAATGCATTGAAATTGGTATTCTGCGCTCGTTAATCCTCACCAGAAGTAATCGCAAGAGATCATCAGCGATACTCAATTTCATTAGCGTATCGATGTAGAACCCTAGCGTTTTATCTGTTTTGAACAAGTCGATATCTCGACGACATAACGTGTTGACGGCATTTTCAAAAACTTCCAATGCACTGCACAAGTCTTGTGTTTCATTCCGATCTTGCTCACTAAGCCCATATAGGATACTCAAAGAGGCAAAGGCCTTCTCAATCTAACAGGAGCACTTTACAAATTTTGACAACAACTTTTTCAAAAACGTTCATCTCGTCTTATAGTCTACTACTAAATTCAAATCTTTAGCGTGGCGAATGTCATGAATCATCGTTGATAAATTCCTGGAGTTTATCGCTCTTCAAAGGAGATATCAGGAGCATGAAGCAGTACTTTTTCACACGCTCAATATGTCTTTTAGAGATATGACGTGCCTTTTCGACCAAAGCTATTCTGAATTCAACATCATCTTTTGAGTTTCTTCTTCGCCGTCAGAATCACCAATCATTCCAATTCTTTCCTGATTGTGACGAAAGATGAAGCAATAACGATGTTATGAAATTCGTGGTCATTATTATCTGAAAACGGAAGTCGGCGTGGCGACTTGCCATCAGTGATCTTTTCATTACCATGTGGGTGGTAAATAACAAATATGAATGCATAGGAATAAGTTGGGAATGATTTATGCTTCATTCATGATGGGTATACCACCAAGTTCATATGAAATGATTTGTATCATGAAATTCCGGAAACCTGAATCCCGGGATCGGAATCGAGATTCAAAAGCCGGGATTCGGGATCCCTTGTAAACCCTGGGTGCGATGTTGAACGGACAGTGTGAAGCAGCCTGCGGAAGGAGACAAATGCTCGAGGAGGGGTGGAGGCCTCGAGAGAGAAGGACTTAGGGCAATGAAGGAAAAAAAGAGGATAGTGGAGAGGAAAGAGGTTCGAAACTCCAGATGAAAGAGTTGTCTCGCAGTAGGGCGCCTATCCCCAACTTCAGTGAAGGTTCAATGCAATTTTTTACGCCCAAGTTGAAAATGACATTACTGACACGTCAAGGCTATGGGATAATAACGTAATCCCACTGACCATTTATCCACGAGCGATCTTACAATCAATCGTTTTGCAGTCATATCCAGTTCATGCTAGAGCACAGACAATGAAGTATGATCACGTTTTCAAGTGCGTTTAATGAGTGGCAAAATGCCGTTAAAATTAACGTCAACTGTGCACCATTGCCGTAAGCGATTGTTTATTTAGAGCGCATTTGTTGTGTTGTCCTCGATCAAGCGCATTTGTTATGGGTACTGTTGGGTTTTTTTCTGAATTAAGTTAAGATTTCAGTTTGCTTTTGAGGTAGTGCGTATTAAAATGAAATGTGATCTGACCGTTTTATATCCTGTTGACTTCTGAATAAACATGAAGTTTTATGCGTTAAGTTGTCGAGTTCACAACCTCGGACTTTCAACCGGCGAATGGTCGCTTTCAACACCAATGCAGTAGAATACAGAGCCAAGTAACTGGTTGAAAGGGTTGTCATAAGAAGGTAGGTAGTGTAAACGTAATGAAGGCTCAGTGGTTGAAAACTGAATATCCTAAATTTAGATTGCATAATTATGGGACTTTTGTATCGTGTTTCTATTTTTCTAGATTATCGATCGTCCGACTAATAGAATATATCGTGGTGAATCTTCACCATAAAACTGCATGAATTATTGTACTGGATTTGTCTGTAAATAGACTGTTTGAAAGTTTTCGTCGTAATCGTTAAAAGAGAAGAAGAAGGTGAATGAATCTGATGAAGCAGCGTTGTTGTCGTTCATCTACTCTCATTTTATTGAAGCATTTATCCGATCATCACAGCTCCTCGAAATACCTCTTTGTTCATCATATTAAACACAATCAGGTAAATATTAACCAATAATTTTAGTTCAGTTTTTTTAATTTCATTATTACATCAGTATTCAATAAACTTACAGAGTGTAAGATGCCTCAGCAATCTTGCTTATAATTGCTTGATTCGACCTAGTGATCTCCTTTTCGAAAGCACTCGGTCGGGCACGTTCCCAGCTGTTAATGCTGAAAAAGCATTCAAGAGGAATCGATCGTTACGTTTACCACAGTTCGTCACTGATAAGCTCAACAAACTTCAAGTAGTTATTTGTTTTGATTTTGTTGTTTCGTTCATTTGTTTATGTTTACAGATTGAACACGATCAATTGAACTAGACAAATGCAATCTTTAACATTTGTCTTGTTGAAATCATAACACGATGTGCTTTATTAATACCAAAAGGAAACAGCCTTCTGGAGTTTTAATTCTCAGATGCTGTGATTATAATTGTTTTCATAAGATTCCTAATCGATAAATCGGTTTGAGTATGAAGTTACATCACCATCTTTTAAAGTTATTTACGTCAGTTAAGGACGGTATTATTTTTCGATGAACCGTGTTTTCGACAGTTCTAACGGATACGATTCTGAGGGTATCTCTGTACCGTTGCCAAATTGAAACATTTGATCTTAGTTATTGTAATCAGTTTATTCTATTATTGTGTGTATTTAAGTTTGAAGTGGTACAGTCACTTCTTGATCAGTCTTACATAATAAGATCAGCCGATTCGTGTGACACTCCATCGTCATCCAAATTCACACAGAATCTTGAAAAGATGGCTAAATATTACTTCAATCAAGGAGGAAAACTATTCAGGCCTACTGTTTCGTTGCTGATGGCGCGTGCCTGCAATCAAGTAAAACCTGAAACGTAAATTACTTATTCATTTCGTCGCTATAAATGAAATTATGTTATACTGTTATTTATCGTTTAATCTAACATAATCTTCCCAAGAACTAAAGCAGTGAACTGGTTGAGGGCAAGTGTGAATATAAAATATACCATTGTTTAGATGGAGAATGCTACTGAATGGTGAATTATCTGATATTTGAATACTACATTGAGTATTTTATAGAACAGCTTTTGAATCCGGGCGTGAAACAGTAACAACTAATCAGTATAAAATAGCAGTAATCTCGGAGATGATACATACGGCATCATTGGTACATGACGATGTAATTGATGAATCGGGTATCAGAAGAGGTAGTCCAACTGTTAATGCTCTTTGGGGCAATAAAATGGTAGGTATTCTGCCCAAATGTACATTCTAAACTCATCTTTCCGAAGAGAACGTTATCGTAACATGCAAAGTTTTAGGCAGTGCTCGTGGGTGATTTCATCCTAGCTCGTGCAACGCAAGTGCTATGCAGTATTGGTCGTCCGAACGTGATCTCGGTGATGGCAACAATTATTGAAGATCTTGTCAAAGGAGAATTCATGCAAATGACTGATGGCTCAGAAGCAGATGCAGATTTAAGGTTCGATAGGTATATGGCTAAGACTTATTCCAAAACAGCGTCATTGTTCGCAAACAGTTGTAAATCGGCTGCTATTTTAGCTGGTAAGTTTTATTCTGCGTTCCTTATTTGAACTTGTACCGATTTTATGTTTACTCTGAATTCTTCAGTTGTGAAATATTTGAAAAATTGATTGAATTTACAAAAGAAACAGTTGACTCATTGTAGAATAATATTTACTAGATATCTATTATTATTTTAGATGTGTCTGAGTCGACCGTAAAAATAGCTTATGAATACGGTAGGTCCTTGGGATTAGCTTTTCAACTCGTTGATGATCTTCTGGATTTTGTTTCAACACCAGCAGCAATGGGAAAGCCTACAGCAAATGATTTAAAATTAGGTTATTCATCGTATCACTTATTAATGTTATCTACCCATTGCTCTAATCTTTACGTATTAGAATAGCATAGAAATTGTAGAAAAAAATAACCTGAATTTTTTAGAAACGTTTAGAAATATTGTTTAATTTTAAAAAAAACTTATCCTGTCTGAGTAATAATTTTGTTTCGAAACATTATGATTTAGGGAACTCCTCTAGATCGTACTATGAATATATAAATAAAATGACTTGAAATTCGTTAGCTTTTTAATTGAATTTTGATTACTAGCATAATGACAATATTGTTTTTAAACTAACAGTGTTAATTGAAAGTGTTAAAACATTTTCAATAAAACTCGCATTCAAGGTCTCATGAAAGGAAGCTGTATCCGATGAAAATAAGCATGGCAAGTTGAAATAATAAGAAAAGTTGAAGGATTGGCAACAGCACCAGTATTATTTGCTGCACAGGAACATCCAGAGTTGAATCATCTTATTGCGCGACGATTCTGTGAGAATGGAGATGTGGACTTAGCTTGGGAAATGGTTGCCAATAGTAGCGGGGTTGAGAGGACGCGTGCTATGGCACGTCAACACGCATATCACGCGGCGAAAATGGTTGGTATTTAATCATGCAGTTGATGGAAGGCAGTGACGGTTTCGTTTGGTGAACAGTAAAAGAGTTATTTTCGGTTAATTAAACGGTCCACTGGACATGAAGGTTATTTGATAGCGTTGCTTTTTGCTTATAATTATTTTGGTAATCAAAATTGGTTGATTTAAGCGATATCCAGCTCAAACTAAAGCAACATGCGACTGAAAAATAGTAGCTCCGCTATCGCTAGTCGGCTAAAAAAAAATGTTTGGACCGCAGAAAATGAGGCGCTATCGCTATTATCACTAAAACAATAGCAAAGCGCTATCGCTGAACCGCTAGTGATCAAAATTAGTTCGCTATCGCCACTCGTTACTTTGAAATCTTCCTTCAAAATTTGCAATTGACCAGTTATTTGAATGTTCGCGTTGTCCAACAATTTACAAACTATACTTGATCCCATAAACCAGCAATCATCAAATTTGTTTTTATCGCTATCTCTAGAACAGTGGAAGACATATACGTTTCTTCTTGAAGAGGCAATGTGGGAACTTCAATAACGTATTTGAATACCAGGAAAGGTTATCAATATTAGGATCAGAAAGTTTAGAACTGCGAAGATTTTATATTGATCTTTGAACAGACAACAACATCATTCATCATCAGGTTGATCTCCTGATGGAAGAATTTTTCGAATTTTCCTCAAGCAATGAACAAACCTGTCAGAATAATTTCTTAAGCTCGCTGTCAAAAGAACTTCATGTTGTAGCCAAAGATCCTGGTACAATTTTTTGAAGTGTTCCAATTCAAAGGGATTCTCCAATGCAAGTAACCCCTCTTTTAAGATAGAGTTGACTTCATTTGAGCAATTATCAATAAATTGATTTATCAGTCGTTGAGGCATTTCGATATCAATGATATCTGCATTTCATATCGTTACGTTACGAATTCAAATGGCCCTGGTAAATCAGGAGGCCTTCAGGTGATTCAGGGATCTGATAATTCTCCAGATAAAATTGATACAGCTCCCGTCGATCAGTTATACACTCGAACAGTTTATAGTTTTCGTGACTTTTTATTATTGCTGACATATTACATAAATAGCATATTAGAAACACTAAATTTTTTTTGAAAATTGTGAAAAAATGCTCAACGCTGTCTGTGTTCGTTCAACATCCTCCAAATCAAATGAAAGACTACAGCGACTCCGTTTCATTACGATGTCGTCCCTTCGATGTTTTTATTGTTTAAGTGAATAGTAATTATTAATTTAGGTAATCCAACTGCCTAATGAAGATAGCGTTTGTGATCAGCTGGTTGAATTGGCGTTATCTCAGTTGGATCGAAGTCATTGAATTTCATCGCTCATCCCAACAGATGTTATTCTTTGCGTGAAATGAAGTATATACAATATAGATTAGGCGATATAAATAGTTGTAGCATTCGAACTGAAATAGACTCACTGTGTTGGTGTCATATGAATGTTTTATCATAGACATTTCATACCTATTAATCTTAAGCACTGCTATTCGTTCTGTTAGACGTGCTGTTATCAAATTGAAAGTTCAAACATGTTCACAGTTATTTTTGTTATTTTGATATAATTGTTCAGATTGAAGACACATATATTCTTGCTAAGTAGCAATATCTTTTATGATTCGAACGATGTGTTGTTATTAATATAGTCAATTACTTATTGATATATTTAACATGTTTGAATTTAATACTTGCACTTAGCTGACTAGATAAAGTTACTGAGTAAAGCTGCTCACATTTCAGTACGGGCATCATAAGTCCAATGACTGATATCTTACTGTTAGTTATTGTTTTGTTTTAGTTAGTTTTTTTGTTCTGCTGTATCGTTTGTTCGGTAATATGATGACTTGTGACATCATGTAATCTGGATTATTCGTTAATACAAATTGCTTTCACTAGTTCTATTGTTATTACATCCGTAATCTTTCTAATAAACGCATAAATCAACGTTGGCTTTAAAATCGCTCCGTCAGATTCTCGTTTATTTTCATGACAGATTTTTTGATTGTATTTGGAATAGCTTAGTATTCACCAGTTCTTGTGACGTGCCTTTCAGTGTATCTGTTTGACTGCTATTTTCCTTCCACACATCTAGAAGTAAATCATCTCGCAAAATGTTATCCAATCATTCATGCACTATCACCTTGCTTAAATATGAATATCATGATTCCTTTTCTGTTTTTCAGTTACCTAATGCCATTGTAATGATTTTACTGCCATTGAGTGATGATGAAGTTGTTTCTGTTTAATTGCAATTAATCTTACAAATCTTCTGGATTAGTTTGAAAGGTATGCTTCATTTAAATGCAAATTTCCTTATTGAAT